CCTTTGCTGGTAATTTCTTTTTTTCGCCAAATAGTATTATGTTTCTGCCACAAAAAAAAAAAAAAAAAAGCGCGCAAAAAAAAAGCCTTAAAACAATTAATCTTAAGGCTACTTGTCTGGAAATATTTGCAAAGGCTCGGGCCCAGGAGCCCGGCGCGGGGCGACGCTCCCTCCCGCTCCACCGCCAGCCCGTGGCCTTCCCGGGGCACCGGCCCCCGGCCCCGGCGGAGGCGTCTGCGGGCTCAGCGCGGCCCCCCCACCCCCCCCGCAGTGCGGTGCTTGGTGAAGCCGGGGGAGGGGTCCGAGCAGGTATTTTTCCCTCCAAACCTGGAGGTGGGGTCTGGCTCCCTCCCGGCGCTGGAGCTCGGCCCCGCGGCCGGCTCTGCCCGGCGGCTGGAGAAGCGGCCCGGCCGGGAGCCCGGCGAGCCCCGCACGTCCCACCGCCGCGTCCCATCGCCGGGGCGGTACTTCCCGGCCGGCTGCCCCGGGGGCGGCGGCGGGGCTCCCTCACACCCCCCGCCTCGACAGGTAATGTCCCCGGCCACCTCTGGGAGCACAGACGGGGAGGGAGTGATGGGCGAAAACACGGCCCGGAGAGGCTTTCTCTGGGAGGGCTTTATTCGCGGAGCTTGTTTCTAAGAAGGACACTGGGCTGTACGGGGCTGTCTGTCGCCGTAACCGGCCGCTCCGGTAGTGTGGCCGCCCGCGGGATGCCGCAGGGTGCCATCACCTACCGTCTCCCTCCCTGCCCCGCTCCTCCGCCTCCCCCCTCCCCCCCATCGCGTCCCCTGCTCAAAGCAGGGGGTTTATTAACCGTGCGTATTACTCTAACGCCCAAATTACTAGAAGAGGATTGAAGTTTCTCTTCTGTGGCATCTTACAACTCCCCGTCGTACTCTGGTCACTCCCGTCCGAAAAGTCGATACCGGTTTGATTTAAGACGCCTCGGGGCCGTGGCAGCCCTCGCATCCCCCCACCTCTCGCTTGCGGCGGGGACGGACCCTCTTAACGCGGAGCGCACGCTCGGGATGGGCCAACGATTGCTGGGAACCCCACGGCCCCAGCACCGCAGCCCCCAGCTCCCCACCCCGCCGGGCGGGTGTGCTCCGCCGGGCACACGCTCCCCCGCAGCATCCTCAGCCCCGCCCCGCCGGGGCCGGTGCGTGCGATGATCCCCCCCACGCACAAACCCGTCCGCTCTGTAGGACGGGGAGAAGGAGGGAAACCTGTGCAAAGAGACGTATGTCAAGCAGGGGGTCAAACGGAACCGGCCAGCCCTGAGGCAGCCCACGTCCAGAGACCCCAAAACCCAGAGGTTTCTTGGGACGTGTTTATGGCGAGGGCAGCGCGGAGCACGAACCAGAAATACAGGCGCCCAAACACACTAGTTAAACCAGTCTTCCTTTCCTTTCCTTTCCTTTCCTTTCCTTTCCTTTCCTTTCCTTTCCTTTCCTTTC